TATCATGAACTTTGATCCCTAAAAAATTCAGCTTGTGACAAAAAAGTGGGAGGTAAATCGATTTTTAAAGCGAATATTTCAATCCATTCACTCTACTATAACATTAATAAAAAAATTGCCCATTTATAAAAAATTGCCCAATTAAGGCCATACATTTTCGTACAGGCTAGAAACTAATAAACTCAATAAATATTACAACATTTGACATATACATAAATACCTAATTTCCATTAAAATCAATTTGTAAATATCTAAAAACAAACAAGTATCCAAAAAATAATACAGACAGTTACATTCATTAAACAAAAAGTTACTGGGGGTTCTATAAGAGCAACCAGCAAAAATCAGCCCTAAGTCATAAATAAAGTTAAGTGGCTCATTAAGTTCTTAGTATGCTAGAAAGTGTCATCATAGTAAATCAGCCAAATCATAATAAGCCTTTTCTCATAATAAATTCTTAACTCACCTACGAAACCCTCTATTGTTTCCAGAAGACTTACAATAATTTGGAAGTCTATTATAAATCTTAATACTCTCGAAAATTATTGAGTGTCTGGTCAAAGTAAATCTAGGAATTGGGAGTGGAACATCGTTGCGATTCCGAGTACTGTAAGAATGAGCATGAGTGTGATCCCCGTATTTTTTAAATATCAAACATACCGTCTCCAATATAAATAAACAAACGACTGTCAAAATCTGCTCTCTCAAAAAGAGCGGTCTACAGTGGTCTAGTGTTGTAACAAGCGAACTTTACCGAGCGAACGTTCGCAGTATTACCGTAATTTACGGTAATGTTCGCTCCTCTCTAAGCGAAAGTTCGCTGAAAATTTGATTTGACTATTAATGGACATGGACCCTGATTTCTGAATACCTATTTTCGAGCCTATTTTCATTATTATTTTTTTATTTTATAACTACTTGTGTTATTACTATTACCTACAGAAAGTTCGTTTTTTAAGTTCCTTTTTTTAGAGTTCCTATTTTTATTTTTAAATTTATTTTTTTATATTATTTTTTGTTTTGACTCAACACTTTATGTAGTTATGTTATGTAGGTATTTGCATTTAATGATTTTTGAGTTTTATTTTTTGATGCTACCACTGCTACCTACATCTACGTTGTTTTTTATTACATCAACTTACAGGAAACACGACTTGTATTAGTTTTATAAATATTATCATTTTCTTTATAATAAATGAATAATACATAGACAAGGGTTATATCTACATTCATGGAAAATTCACCTACCCCTACCAGAGAAAAGAAAAATAGAGAAATTTAGTGAAACTTTATTATTATTAGATATTTTTACAAGCCCTACATTGGAAAGCCGAATTTATAGGTTCTTTTGCAATATTCTCCAAAGTTCTCATACATTCTCGAAAATTCTCAAACATTCCCGAAAGTTCGGTAACGTTCGAAAATTACCGAGAATTTTACAACACTACAGTGGTCTCTCATACCTTTGCCACACATATATCTTATAGCTCTTTTCTGTATTGTAAAAACCGAATTAAGTAGACTTCTACTGCAGTAGCTAAGCCCCAAAACGAAATGCCGTATCTCAAGTGAGACTCGATAAGTGCATAATAGGTAGATTTAGCAATACGGCAACCCAACTCTGTAAAAGTTCTTCGCACAGCATAACAGCCAGACGCCAGTCTCTTATTCAAGGCAACAACATGTACATCAAACTTTAATCGGTCGTCCACGTAGAGCCCAAGAAACTTTGTACTTTGTACATTCCTAATTATCCTATCCTCCAATTCGATATCATCAATATCAAATTTAAAGCTCAAAATTTTTGTTTTATCAATGTTAAGGCAAAAGTCATTGGCATCACACCAGTTTTTAATTCTAAGTATGTCCCTTGTTACTACGTTTTTGAGAAGTGCCTGGTCCTTGCTATGTCATTTCACTGTGGAGTCATCCGCAAAATTCAAAAGTGAGCCATCTGTCCTCACGTTTGCTAAGACGTTGATGTACAAGAATAAAAGAGGTACAAGCACGGAGCCCTGAGGTACCCCACATGATAGTGTTTTTAAATCTGATGTTGTCTGACCATTTCTAACCACTTGGCTTCTTCCCACTACATATGAATTAAAGGGGGTGTGCGCCAAAAATTAAAGTTTTGATGTAAAAAAATCTAAGAATAACTGTTCAAACCTCGTTATTCTACGATAAACCATCGCTGAGATATACCGCTTAAAGTGTGGACGACGCTCTCGTGACGTCACGAAAATTTCGTCCAGCCGCGCTCCACATTGTTAATTTGATTGTTCCCGGCACGCGTGAGTGGTTTTTGTTTAGATTATTGCAGGTTACACAAGAGAAACATATGTAAATTTAATTAACTCCACTTTGTCGTGCGTCGCTTGAGCTTTCGTGACGTCATAGGGTGAGATGCAGTACCTTCATAGAGCCATATCTGCGGTATTATTTGTCATAGAGGGGTGCGGATTTCACTGTTATTCTTAGATTTTTTTTCTCTTTTTTTTTAGATGAAGTTGTTTTTTTGGCGCACACCCCCTTTAAGAAAACTAGAAATTTTATCTCTGAATCCATAAATTTTAAGCTTTTCTAGAAAAAGGTTTTGATTGACACAGTCAAACGCCTTTGAAAAATCCTTTTCATTCAAGTCAAAGTACAAGCTCTCCAGGAGGGAAAATATCGCATCATTCGTACTCAATGATTCTCGAAAGCCAAACTGAGAGGCGCTGATGATATTATGCGTCTCAACAAAAAGCAGCATCTGTTTTTTGACTATTTTTTCGATAATTTTCGAAAGAGTTGGAAGCAAGGATATTGGACGAAAGTTAGCCGGATCATCAAATGCACCTGACTTACGAAACGGCACAACAACAGCAGTCTTCAAACAATCAGGAAATACACCGAGCACAAAGTCCAAATTTATCGCCCTCACCAAAAAACTGAGGAGAACATCATCACTGAGGCTCTGAAAAATTCCAACAGAGGTATTGTCAATACCTGTGCTATTCTTGTTTGTAATTTCAGCAAAAGTGTGTTTCAATTCGATTAGGTTAATCGGTTCCATCACAAAAGTCTCTCCGACATATTGTTCCTATAAATTATCCAGCGGGTTTGTGTCAGAGTTGAGTTCTTTCGTAATATTTTCTGCAATTGAACAGAAATATTCGGTTAATATGTTAGGAGTTAGGGTTGAAATATGAGGCTGTGTACTATTCTTTCCCCTGAGGTCGTTCACAATAGACCACGCTTCCTTAATTTTGTCGTTTGCGTTATCCATACGTTCAGTATAGTATCTTTGTTTGGCTATTTCAATTACCTGTCGATAAATGCTTCTATAGCTTGCTGTATAATTTACCAAAAACTGACTATCTATAAACTTCTTAATATAAAGCGTGATCCAAGTAGTGCTTTAGGATTTCAAAGTAAAATATAGGCAACACTGTACAGGGTGCTGAAATTTGGAGTGTTTTAACAGGAAAAACATATAGTTAGGGAGACGACCGCATTTTTCCTACCCCGATCGAGTTATATGTCGACACTATTATCAATATATAGTATTATGTGCATCTATTAACCGGTATTCCTGCCTGAGAGCAAATGCTGCCGGAAATATCTTTTAACAAATTATTAACAAATTGAAAAAAACGTAACACTACCCCCATCGAGTTATGCCCTAAGTAGGGTATCAGATTGAAGGTCTCGATGTCCCCTATCTAAAAAGTCGATCCTGCCTCGTGAGAACATGCCAGAAAAGGGTGGCAGGGCAGCTTATTGGGGCAAGGGCCCACGGTCTCTACTTTGACACCTATCAAGTTTTACCCTGAATGATGTGTCAAATTAAAGGTGTTAATAAGTTGATTTAAGGTCTCTTCGCACAGAAATCCCAAACCAGAAGGTTTGAATTTCATTGCTTAAAACTAGTTTCCTGACTGTTTCCAACCAATGAAATTCGCTCTGACTGGTTTGTGATTTCTGTGCGAACAGACCTTAAATCAACTTATTGACACCTTTAATTTGACACATCATTTAGTGCAAAGCTTGATATATTTACATATATAATTCTCAATATGCTCTTTTTTGTAATTCAACATGAAAGATATGGACGAGTTGAGAAGATTTCTGAGAATCGAAATTCAAAGAACATCGCGGGGTAGGTTTTTGATTCAGAAGCCATATCTGCAAAACTTATTAAAGCAATTTGAGGCGGAGAAATACAATCTAGTCAAAACACCAGTTGAATTCAAAAACCAAGTAACATAATCTTATCTAGAGCATGGTGATGTGATAAACACCATGTCGTTCAATAGACCAGAATTAAGTTATACTTTAAATTATTTCAGCAGCTACCGAAGTAATGGAACAGAAAGAGAATCGAGAGGACTACATGGTTGGTTTGATGTTGAAAAAAAATCAATTTGACGAAAATCCAGTTCATGCATAGCCTCATGCTAACTAGGAAGCAGCATTAACCTAACAGAAAAGCAACAACAGGTTGCCTTTTGAATTTGTTTGGGTCCATAGTTTGTTGCATAACAAAGAAATAAATACACTCCAGAGAAGCAGAGTAGTTTATCTCTCTTGCAACTGATGCTGCAAAACTTCTCTGGTTGGGAAATTCAATTGAAAAATTGAAGATTGAAAATCCATAAAGACAACCAAGCTTGCATTCAGCTCCAAAAAAAATGGGAACACAAAAAACTTTCTTAGAAGTTGAATTCTGTATTGGTAGGTTGAAAGGAATCTCTTGTTTTTCACGCAATTTAGTTGTGATGATTGCAGCAACAAGATTATTTAGTTTGGTGGAATGTAAAGCAATACTTGTATGAAGTAGAAAGGTTTACCTTCAAGTAAGTATAGGCATACAAGGTAACCATATAAGAGGTTGACATTCAACAATCTTTTCTTGCTACTTAAACAACTGTTATCAGTTAATATTTTTTGAATACTTATCGACAAGCAGCGGAGGCACGTCTCCAAGATAAAAATGAATATATATAGACAAATCTTACCTTTCCCATTCCTTAATTATGTGATCTAGGTCGTAACGTTTACGGTAGTTGATGAAAAAGGTGCGAACCAAATGTTCGGTTTTGTTGCCAAGCATTTCAGATATGGCTTTGAAATCTTTTCCATATTTACGGAATCCCTCAACAGCCAACATGAGTTCGTCGTTGGACCAACGGGGGTTGTTTCGTTGCTTGTCTTCGCCAGGTCTCAAATCATCAATCGAATCTGAGTGTTTGCGTTTCAGGCAGCTAATGCTCTGCTTGTTTTGCTGAATCTGAAACAATAGAGAACTAACTAGAATCACAGATTATGTTTGTGTGGGATTCACCAGAATTTGAATTGGAAATAAATTTTAGGATTTTAGCATTATATTCAAAGCAAATACATAAAGATGGGGGCTGTGAGATGTAAAAGAAATAGCTTTACATACAAAAAAAAAAATAGCAAAGCATGTATGACAATTACTATGGGGGCTTATATGCAATTGATGAATATTATATTAGGAACTATACTATATAAGCTATGATTAACAAGCAAAAGCTATCCAAAGAGAGGAGGGACAAAGACAGAGAATATATTTGAGATGTAAATTGAAGCAAATTTTGAATGAAAGCAAAAAATAATACTCCATCCCTTTCTCTGTGATCTAGCTCTGCTATACAAAATCAAACGATAAATTTAACACACTCATACAATTTCTAAAGGCATCTGTAACAAAAAAAAGTTATGCAAAATATCTCTTTCTCTCTCTGTCTTTCGTCCCATCCTCCGAGTCTACATAGTTGTGCTGCTGCGCAGAGTAGTGGCGTCTTCCATTAAAGTACTCACTTGTCTCTGCAAAGAATCGAGCTCCCTCTCCATAGATTTCAGCAGCAGGGTGCCAGCATTGCCAGATGCCATGGTAGCCAAATCGTCGTGGTTAATGTGCATGCCTTTTGGTGGATGACCCCGAGCTCGCGTATTTGCTGGACCACCACCTCTTTTGCCTATTGTTGGGCCCGAAGTCGGACGAGCCGTTCCAGTACGTCTATATTGCGCGGAAATTGTCTTAATATATTTTAGAACACGTTTACTCTTATCAGATTAATAAACTATGTAACAAATTATGCATATGTGGAAACCTCCACTGAAATTCTATGTTACATAGATTATTAACATGTAAGAAATGAACCCGAAATTTCAAAAAAAAATAAAAAATAAATGCTAAATCTCCAATGTTGATTTGGCATTTCCATTCAAATTGTAATTTTTGATTACCTCCAATGTTGGTAGCAACTGTTACATAATTGCCCCTTTGTACTTCTATGGACGATGGAACAAAACACGCCGCAATTTGAGCAGGTACCACCCTCACCCTGTGCAATACATGAAAAACAATCATACTTTGAATATAACATATTTTTTTATCAGGGTAATGAAAATAAATTAGGAAATACCATGAGCATTGATTGACATGCATAGGATAAGGAGATGCTATGATGTGTTAAATGAGCATATTAGTAAAGCCTACTTGAAAAAATACAAAAAGCAGAATTATTTAGCAAATTTTTTTTTTGCAAGGGCAGCAAGGGGTAAACCACTGTACAAAATTTTATTTTTGTTATTTACCGCTTAACTTTATGAAACCATATTTGAAAAACAATTTATTTGTAATAAATTTATACAATTTGAAAAAAAAAATCAAATATCAAATATTTAGTTACATTTGAACAGAATATTTCCAATCTTCACATATTGGATAGAAGTGGCAAAATAGTTGATTTGTGTATTGAAGTTATAACTCGTTATAAACAATAATTGATAATGTTTGAAATATACACTTTTAAGTATGTTTCACTAGACCTACAAAAACAAGAGATTTCGATTTTCTTAGATAAAACTTCATCTATTTTGGGGAGCAGAACTGTTTGAAAAATTAGCATCAGAAACACACATAAGTCTGATCCAGGTGAATGATGGACTGTCTGGTGGATCCTGTCGTCCAACTCCTTCGTTTCTTTTTTGAGTTGAAGAGAGCTTTGAGACTGACACACCTTTGTGGAGCTAAGCCCAGAGATACCTGATGTTGAGCTTCACAGGTCTGTTTCTGCAGAAATCACATACCAGTCAGACCGAATTTCATTGGTTGAAAACAGTCACAGAACTAGTTTCAACCAATGAAATTTACTCTGACTGGTTAGTGATTTCTGCAGAAACAGACCTATAAACATTCTCCAGAGTTTTTTAATGGAAACCCTATACATTAAAGATTCAGCAGTCGAACCAGTGTAGAGAATATTTTTACAATATACAACAAAGTTTACAAGCATACCTTCTAGTTGTTTGTAGTTTAATAAAACGGCAAATTAATGTTAACAAACTGGCATTGGGATCCAACAGATTAACAGTGCAAAAATGTTTCTTGGAGATGAATATTGCTTGGGGAGAAAGCCAACTGTAATATGAACGAAAATCTCTATGATAATGATTATGAAACACTTTTTAATTTGTTCTAAGCGCAATTAAACCTAAATTTGAAAAATATTTACCTTGAAAGATCTGGCAATTTTGTGAAAATTTCTACAACAGAATTAACCTCTGTACCCAAAAGAGTTGTCTCTACTGAAAAGTATTGAAAATGGTTTGATTGGGAACTCTGGAAGCATATCGTACCATGTATTTTTAATATAAAAGAACCCTCTTACACAGCGCTTACAATCTTTCTCATATCCTTCTAGGAGTTGAAATCAAAACTGAGATGTGATACTTATGTAGGTATTTCTTAACAAAAATCAACAACCTCATGGATTCGGGTTTGCCTGCTCACATGAAATACAAGAATGAAGAACTGGTAAATATGGCAGCTTTCCTTGCCTGTTAAGGAGCAAGAGCCCAAGCCTTCACTCCACACTTTAAGGTTGCTTACTCTGATCAAAGGGTGGCGGACCTGGAGCTAAAGACTGTATTACTCCGTAACCAGTGCAATTTTCAAGATCATTGAAATTCAAAGAATTTACCATACCAACTACTTGCAGCATTTCTATCTAACTTTACGTCTTCTCTTCCCCTCTGAGAAATATATTTCAGAGGAGGATTCGGCCGTTCTGAGTTTCTGCTCGCTGATTTCAGATTGGATTAAAATGAAATCATCAGCTTTCAATTTTATTTTCAATCATCAGCTTTTATTGATAATGCAATAATGAATTGATAATGCATAATGCATCTTATTTTGAAACTCAAGAATATAAATTACCATCACATATTACAGTATAACTTGCATTGGTTTTTCATTTGTAAGCTACTTGGTTTAATGGTTTACCCCTTGAGACTGTACAGAACAGGTATTACATTTTTATTGGTTTCATGTCCTCTGACAAAAAGCCAAATACTAGCGGTACAAATTAAACAAAAAATAGGGTTTACTTTTTGCCAAATAATAACCAATAACGAAAAATTGTGTAAAATGAAAATGTACACCAATGAGTCACCGTGAAATAAGCAGCAGTAGATGGAATTGTGCACACAGCTAATTTTAGCTTATAAATGCTCTACCTGAATAGCAGAATCTCTGCTAGATTGACCCCCTCTACTAGTGGTCCCGCTTTTACGATTTATTCCTCGGTGAAAAGTCCATCTCTGTTAAAAATTACTCATTATACAAATCAAATAATTAAATATTGTTACAGTTGCCTAAAACACAATTAGGGGAACCTATTAAATAATTTAAATTCAATATTTTTTAGTTTGCTTGAATAATAAAGAAAAATATATTTATTGAAAATGTTTAATCTAAAGCCAGGTCCAGACTAACAATACATCTTATTATTATTATTATTATTTTTGCCCAATACCATAGGTGGTAGAAACTGATGAGGCTATTGCCAAATTGTCCAAGTACATGTATTTGATGTATTGCACTATAAAAGAGAAGGCTTCCTTAAAAAACTATTTCTATGGTACATAATAAACTAGTCTTGAGGAGGATTCCTGCATCTCTTGATCAAGTCGGTTTTTGAAATGATTCACACTAGACGCATCAACTGTATCCTCCTCCAAAGAGTTCCATGTATACACTATTCGATAAGTGATAAAGTTTTTTCTAGGAAATTCTGCGGATTTCTCTTTGGAAAGTTTTCCAGACGCTATAAGCATATTCTAACTTGGGTCTTATGTAGGATTTAAAGAGCAAATTAATGGTATTTACCAAATGTTTTCCGTATATAAAAATTAATTTATTTGCTTTTTTGATTATCTTATTAATATGCTTCTTCCATTATAAGTCATTTGAAATAATAACACCTAAATCGTTTTGTTCTTCACCTGATGATAGAGCTATGTAATTGAGGTGGTATCTGGCTAGTGGGTTATTTGGACCCATGGGTTATTTGGATCCAGGCTTTCTCAAAATCTAGGTATATAACATCTGTTGGTTGCGAAGTGTGGTGATTTGTTGTCCAGTGGTCAAGGCAAGTTGGCAGATTTGTTGTAGTAGTGGATCGTTTCGGAACATAGCCATGTTGCGTTGGTGTTATTACATTGTTTTCAACAAAAAATGCAGTCAGATCTTCAACCTTCAACAATAATTCTTTCCATGCACTTACAGGGATTACATGTAAGGTTGATAGGCCGGTAGTTCGCTGCTAAGTTCCTGTCTGTCTTCTTGAATAAAGGTGTCACAACTGCATGTTTCCAATCTTCTGGCATTACTGTCAATAATATTCTGATACGCTGACGCAAGTAGTGGAGTAAGTGAATCTGCAGACTTCTGAAGAAATGTTGTCGGAATATTATCAAGGCCTGGACTGAAGTCGGACTTCATTTTATTTAATGCAGCGAATACATTTTATTTAATGCAGCGAATACATTTTCTTCTATAAACTCTATGTACTCAATGCTATTGATGGTTCTTGTTTCAGGACCCAGATGTGGGAGGGCGCTGCTCGAATTATGGGAAAATGATTTATTAAATTGCTCTGCAAGGTTAGCACCTATTAAATTATCAATAGTAATATAACTAGTGCAATGGAAATTATTGATAATTTTTGGGAAATTTGCCCGAATGCATTTTTAGTTGAAAAAGAGCACGAGTGCACGAGTGCCTTTTTCAGTTAAAAACGCATGAGTGCAAAGTCGAAAATTATAAATATATTTCCATTGCACGAGTTGTATTTAATGAGAGAATTTCATAAATCAAAAATTTAAAGTTTTTGTCAAAAAATTTCAAAACACCAGTTTTCGCACCAGTTAGTATGCAATTATCTGATAATTTGCACTAGAGCAAATTATCGCGTAATTACAATCTGATTGGTTCAAATCAACAATCAAAACATGTCAATTTATTGTTGGAATACCAGTTTTGACAGATGTATGAAATTCTCATCTACAATTATTTCATTGTTATGGTCTTTTAGAGAAATATGTGAGATACTGGAATTTAAACTTCTGCTAATATATTTATAAAATCTCTTAGTGGATTCCGATGTTGCAATGTCATTTTCAAATTTTCTTCTGGCTGTACTAATCATATCTTTAAGCATATTATTATGAGTCGTATATACCATATACAGGGTGAGTAACTAAGCGCGCGGTGGTCCATATTATATCCTATACTAACGGAGATCGGAGAAAAAACTAAATACAAAACTTGTAGATAAACATGAGTACTACATTCCTAAATTATTTTCCAGTATACAGGGTGGCCCAATAACTAGTAGTGACACAAAGTTATGTTTTTTTAAATGACTCCCCCTGTATATTATGATATTTCTGGATTCTGCGAGAAATTCTAGACATATTTCATGTTTAATGTCATATACCTATCTTCAACTGTTTCGGAAATATTGACAGTTGAAAATTGACTTTTTTGCATCTTTGACAGACTGTGAAACCTAAACGGTTAATTTTAGAGGAAAACGGATTTCACATTCCTCTTAGATTTTCATAAGCTATCATTTGACACCAACTTTGAATTTAACCGAAGATTAATAATTTAGGCGGAATTTTTAATCATGGATTGATTTCAAGATTGGTTCCGAATGATAGTTTATGAAAAACTAAGACAGGAATGTTAAATCCGTTTTCTTGTAAAATTAACCGTTCAGGTTTTACAGTCTGTCAAAGATGCAAAAAAGTCACCACCGCGCGCTTAGTAACTCACCCTGTATAAGATGATTTTGTTGAAAATTCTTTCATTTATCCAAGGTTTCTTATGGTTAACTCTCGCCGATTTAATTAGTATAAAACTGTTGATGGCACTAGTTAATATACTATTCAATTCTTGATAGGTGACTGGTTCAATACTATGAGATTTTTCTTCTATATAGAACTGTTGATATTTTCGTAATTTGCAGTCCGCAAATTTATTTTCTTCTGAGTTGGTTGTGGCTCAATTTTAATGAGTTTTAGCGGTTAAGACAATATGATCGCTTTGGCCAATAGGTATGTTTTTCAATGTCATAGACAGACTTTTTATTGTTGGTTAAAATAAATCCAATAACGACTCCTGACTGTTTCTGTATCTAGTCGGAAATGGTACCATTTGATGTGCATTTATCTCTTTATACATGTCTAGAAAATCCTCAGCTTTTTGGTCGGATACATTAATTGAAATACTAGGCCAATTTATGAGAGGCAAGTTGAAGTCTTCAAATATGAATGTAGGGTTCTCAGTAGAAAATGCACTCTTAACTCTTAAGCCGGGCTCAAACGACTCGTGTACTTGGAGAATAATCGTTACTTGCGTATACTTGCCATGTCGTGTGAGTGGGTTACTTGTACAATTATTTGTCACTCGTTGGTTTTCCATTTCTTGTCGGTAAAAATGTCCCGAGTCAAAGGAATCACGATTATTCGTACACTTGCCAAGTTCATATTTGTAGAGGCACTCAAACGAAATGCACAAATAATTGGCTTTTACTGCGACTATTTCATTTAGTTTTCGACTAGCATCAAGGTTTAGCCAAATGTTCGCGCTCGCGTACTTGTAAATTGTAACACGTCGTGTGAGCGCCCTGCTTGCCATGGCAATTCGCAAAGCTTGTATACTTGCCAAGTACGCGAATAATTGTGCATTCGCCAAGTACACGAGTCGTCTGAGCCCGGCTTTAAGCCGGGCTCAAACGACTCGTGTACTTGACGAATAATCGTTACTTGCATATACTTGCCATGTCGTGTGAGTGGGTTACTTGTACAATTATTTGTCACTCGTTGGTTTTCCATTTCTTGTCGGTAAAAATGTCCCGAGTCAAAGGGATCACGATTATTCGTACACTTGCCAAGTTCATACTTGTCTATACTTGTAGAGGCGCTCAAACGAAATACACAAATAATTGGCTTTTACTGCAACTATTTCATTTAGTTTTTGACGAGCATGAAGGTTTAGCCAAGTGTTCGCGCTCGCGTACTTGTGAATTGAACACGTCGTGTGAGCGCCCTGCTTGCCATCGCAATTCGCAAAGCTAGTATACTTGCCAAGTACCAGAATAATTGCGTATTCGCCAAGTACACGAGTCGTCTGAGCCCGGCTTTACAATTTACAAGTACGCGAGCGCGAACATTTGGCTAAACCTTGATGCTAGTCGAAAACTAAATGAAATAGTCGCAGTAAAAGCCAATTATTTGTGAACTTCGTTTGCGCGCCTCTACAAGTATAGACAAGTATGAACTTGGCAAGTGTACGAATAATCGTGATCCTTTGACTCGGGACATTTTTACCGACAAGAAATGGAAAACCATTGAGTGACAAATAATTGTACAAGTAACCCACTCACACGACATGGCAAGTATACGCAAGTAACGATTATTCGCCAAGTACACGAGTCGTTTGAGCCCGGCTTAACATGTCGTGAGAGCGCCCTGCTTGCCATCGCAATTCCCAAAGCTCGTATACTTGCTGAGTACGTGAATAATTGTGTATTCGCCAACTACACGAGTCGTCTGAGCCCGGCTTAACATGGACACAAACTACACCCCCTTTCTGATTTATGCGATCTTGTCAAAAATGGCAATATTCATTCAATTTAATAAACTCTGTCTGGTAAAGATTCATGCAGCCATGTTTCTGTTAAATTATAAACTTCCTTAGAAAAAGGAAAAAAGCTTCAAAATAATGTACAGCTTTTTTATTGTTACATAATTGGCCTATTCGGGTTTGGAAAAAGGACGGTTCTAGAATGGTTTAAAACAATCGCACAGTTTATTATTGAAATTTGTGATAGCCAAGTTGTTGTCATTTTGTTGATTGATAAACTGTCCGATTGATTTGAACCGTTCCAGAAACGTCCTTTTTCCAAACCCGAAAGGGCCTAATATGTTTTATGTCATAAATCAGATGTTTGTCTGTAAAGATCAAATCGTCGCTGTCAGTATGAAGGGGCCTATCTAAATATTTGGCGAAAATGAGTTATTCCCATAAAAATACTTGAGAGAACCATATCTAATATTGTGAACTGGCATATCTCCATATAGCCGGAGAGCCAGCGCCGAAAAAGTTCTCTGAATTTACTAAAGCCAGTTTTTGGTCAGTTGATTACAGTATTTACGTACATAAACATACCTCGGTCAGTCAAGCGAAACTTGGGACAAGGACCTAGGGTGTCTGGTTAAAGTTGTCGAGATAGCTAGGTAATGCAACGAAT